CTCGGGATCATCGTACAGCAGGACGCCTCCGTGTCGCGATTGTCACGAGGTCCGTAGTGGCAGTATTGGCCTACAGGTGAGGGCAAGGATCGTGATTGGCTCGGAATCCCTATTGTTGCTGACATCAATCCGGTCTTCAACTTTGAATTCCCTTTCTTTCATCTTTAATCAGTTTACCCCCGACCGCGCCGCGTACTCGTGGCTCCTTCGCTTCAAGGATCAACCTACCCCTGGAACGTTTCCAGGAAGGTTTGCTTCGCTGTCTCTGGGAGCAACTGAATGAGACCAAATGGGAGAAAATTAAGGAGCGTGAGCAAGAATATGTCACCGACGCATTCAACGACCTTCAGATGGAAGACACACCTGAAGAGGAGGAAGAGGAAGAAGAGGAGGCGGAAGAGCCTGAGTATGAGGATGCCGACCCTGGACAGCAAAGCGAACACTACGACAGCGATGAAGAGGATGAGGACGTTGTCACCAAAGACGAGGACGGCAACGTCAACTCGCAGCTCGCTGTTGGCTATAAGCACGATCGTTCATTCGTTGTGCGTGGTTCGAAGATTGGCGTGTTCAAGCACACAAACAACGACAAGCTCGAGTTCTCGACCAACATCTCCAAAGTTGAGACGCCCAACGGTGTTCTGTTCAGCCCCAAGAAAGTCATGTTGCACAACGAGGATCGCAACATGATTCTCCAACATCAAACAGACCCCAATAAGCTGTACCGCATGGACCTCGAGTACGGCAAGGTTGTGGACGAATGGAACGTCCACGAAGATATTCCTGTTGTCACGTTCGCGCCCGAGAACAAGTACGCCCAGATGACGCACGAACCCACTTTCCTCGGTGTCTCGCACAATGCACTCTATCGCATCGACCCTCGTCTATCGGGTGACAAGCTTGTGGAATCGCAGTTGAAGCAGTATGCCTCTAAGAACCAGTTTTCCGCCATGGCGACGACCGAGAAGGGACACATTGCCGTGGCCTCCAACAAAGGCGACGTCCGTCTCTTTGATCGTCTCGGAATCAATGCCAAAACGCATATTCCGGCTCTTGGAGAGGCTATCATTGGTCTCGACGTCTCCGCGGACGGCCGCTGGGTGCTCGCCACATGTAATACGTACATTCTGCTCATCGACGCCATGCAAAAAACGGGCAAGAACGAGGGCAAACTCGGCTTCGAGAAGCCCTTCGCCGCCGCCGATAAGCCGCAGCCGCGTCGTCTCGCGCTCACGCCCGAGCACGTTGCGCAATTCTCGCACGAAACGGGCAAGCCGGTGCGCTTCACGCCCGCGCGCTTCAATGCCGGCGAGGGGGTTGAGGAGACGAGTATCATTACGGCCACGGGCCCGTACATCATTGAATGGAATCTTAAGAAGGTGCTCCGCGGCGCCAAGGCGCCGTACCTCATCAAACGGTATACCGAAGACGTCAAGGCCGACGACTTCCAATTCGGCACCGACAAGAACGTCATTGTCGCGCTGCCGAACGAGGTCAACATGATTGGCAAGGGCGGGCTCAAGCGGCCCACACGCGAAAGCATCGCTGGCGACTTTACACGGCTCAGTGTGCCGGGCGGCCGGAAGAGTTCGGGTCGCATCGGCACGCCGAGGAGCGGGCGTTACAAGCTTGGTCGGGATGAGGTTGTCAACTCCCCGTACTAAGGAACGGAATGGGTGGGGGATGATTTGGGATGATTTGCTCAAGGTTGTGGCAAGATGGAGTTGACTCTGGTGACGGTTCGGCTTCGACTGACTGCTTGACCCTTGACTTTGGGTTAGTTGATGCACGTTTGGACTGGTGTTGTTTGGTGGTTTGGGGGCGGGATCTCACTTCTTCGCCTCTTCTTTTCTGATACTTATTTTCTCCTTTTCTTTCCTTTGTGTTTTGTCTGGCCGAGATACCTTTGCGGTCCCAGAACGTGGTTTGGTGACGAGAAGAGAACATGAGAACCGATTTCCAGGACTGGCTTACTGTCCTTCTTTTGTGATTTATGAATGACCTGCAAGTCACGAAGTGTGGCATGTTTTGCTTTGAGGAAGATTCAGCCAAGGGATCAACGTGGGCTTCTTATCGAAGGTCATGGTTGACAGGGGAGGCATCACACGCAATCATGAATCAGTAGTTAGTCAATTAAAACGAGGGTTGGAGACATGAGTTAACAGAGTACCCTATGGAGTGAAATCCTCGCATCACATAAAAAACAAAACGAGGATAGACAAAGGTTGAAAGGAAAAAAAAAGAAAAAAAGGGAAAACCGTACAACGCCCTGCTTCGTGATGCGCCCGTCCAGCGCTCGTCATGTCTATCTTTCGCATGGCCGGCTAGCGTCAGCCATGCCATTTTTGCTCTCGTCCCGCCGTCAGTCACGCAGCCTCCTTTTCGGCTTCCGCCTTGGCGTCCTCGCTATTGAAGATGCCCTCGACGGCGCCCTTGACGGCCTGGGCGCCGGCGGCGACGCTGCCGGCGACGTTGCCAATGGCCTTGGGCTGATGGCTCGCGTCGGAGGAGAGGCGGGTCATTTCGTTGACGAAGGACTGGCCCCACCAGGCCGAGGTGTACTTGAAGACGTAGCGTTCGAGTTTCTTGTAGTTGGCCTCGCGCTGCTCGGGGGACATGGTGACGGCGTCGTGGAGGGCGTTGGCGAGCTCCTCGGTGTTCCAGGGGTTGACGATGAGGGAGCCGGACAGGGACTGGGCGGCGCCGGTGAACTCGGAGAGGACCATGACGCCGTGGCGCTCGCGCTGCGTGGCGATGTACTCGTACGAGACGAGGTTCATGCCGTCGCGGGTCGAGGAGACGAGGCAGACGTCCGAGACGGCGTACAGGGCCGTCAGCTCCTCGAAGGAGACGGACTGGTGGAGGAAGTGGATCGGCATAAACTCAATGGTGCCGAAGCGGCCGTTGATGCGGCCGACGAGCTCGTTGACGACGGCGCGGAGGTTCTGGTACTCCTCGACGTCCTGGCGTGATGGGATCGCCACCTGGACGAGGACGATGCGGCCGATCCACTCGGGGTGCTCCGTGAGGAAGACCTCGAGGGCGTGGAGCTTCTGGGGTACGCCCTTGATGTAATCGAGTCGGTCGACACCGACGATGAGCTTGACGCCCTCAAACTTGCGCTTCAGGGCCTCGATGCGCTTCTGGACGACGGGCTTTTGGAGGCCCTCGACAAACTTCTCGGGGTCGATGCCGATGGGGAAGGCACCGACGGTGACGAAGCGGCCCTTAAACTCGACTCCGTTGGGCGTCGTCGGTGTTGAGAGAATGCGGGAGCAGCTGGACAGGAAGTGACGAGCATAGTCGTAGGTGTGGAAGCCGATGAGGTCGCAGTGGAGGAGGCCGGCGAGAAGGGCCTCGCGCACAGGCAGGATACGGTAGATTTCAGAGGAGGGGAAGGGTGTGTGCAGGAAGAAGCCAATTTTGACATTCTTCTTGGAGTTTCCCATCTCCTCACGCAGCATCTCTGGCAACAGCATGAGGTGATAGTCGTGGACCCAGATCAGATCGCCATCCTGGACATCCTTGATTACCGTCTTAGCGAAGAGGCGGTTGACCTCTTGGTACGCAGCCCAGGCGCTCTCGTCAAAGGTAATCTCGCCGGGGTGGTAGTGGAACAGGGGCCAGAGGATCGAGTTGGAGAAGCCGTTGTAGTGGCGGTCGGCGAGGTCGTCGTCGACGAAGACGGGGTGGGCGCCGTACTCGTCCTTGAGGCGCTGCTTCATGCCAGCGACTTCTGCCTCGGGAACCTCGAGGCCAGGCCAACCGTACCACTGAAAGCTTGTGGTTTTGGACAGGCCGCTGAGGCCAGTGACGAGACCGCCGGAGGACATGGAAAATTGATAGTTGCCATCTTCCTCGCGCTTGATGGTGATGGGGCAAACGGTTCGACAGCAGGAGGAGTCGACCGGGCGGAGCGGCGTCTTGCTCGAGGAGAGCAGGCATTTATGTGTGCGTGTTCGTGTCGGATGATGCTTGGTTCGGAGCTGTGGAGAGGTCGTCTTATTTGACAGGTCGTGAGGCGAGAGAGTGGTGGTGATCCGAGGATTACAAGGTCGTGGGCTCCAAGTAGTGGTTGGGTGCTGGAGCAGGAGTGTAAAGAGTACTGGACGCACAGAAAGCTTGCAGGGCGGGCAGTGAAGGCAAGAAAAAGGAGCGTCAAGCAGATGGACGGGGACCTGGGAACTCCGGAGACCTTGGCGCGTAGCTTTATGACGAGATGGAATGGAGGGCGAGGGCTAGGGGAGGGGCCCTACTGTGGAATGGTGGCAGGGGTGCGTCGCTGGGTATAGGCGCCCTGAGAGGGCCTGACGGAGGGGAATCAACAGGGGACGGGAGGGACGATAGCCGTTTGACTTTTTGGAAAACAGTGGAACGCGGAGAAGACGCAGGATGGCCACGTCGACATTCTCACTCTGATGTCCATTGATTCCACGGCATTGATTCCACGGCATCGGATTGGCCTTTCCAGCTACGTGAGCCTCCTTGTCCATGAAAGACCCCTCTCCAAGCACACGAAGCTTGGAAGGCATGACGGATCGGCAAGCTGAACGAACGCCATCTCCCTAGCAAATACCTAAATTGGGTGCTGTAGGCCTGGATCTGGCGGACCACCAACCAGAAACGTCACCACGCCGAGCAATACAATGTCAGGTACCGTAAGGCATCTCGTTACCAGCGTGAGGTGGTCCCAGCGAGCCGTGAACTGGGCGCCAGCCCCTTGTTTG